TGGAGTGGAAATCCCTCATTCATGTGATATCCAAACAAAACTAGTATTTTAATTGTTTTACTTTTATATGAAATGAGAATGATTTCCATTTCAATGCCATCTTATTCTTGACAAAAAATATTAGATAAAGACTTAAATATTTTTTTAGTTCACATTTTTGTACAATTGATTTGTTTATAGTCTAAAGAAAGGTAAGACATACAGTAGCAAATGGGAAGGGAGGCTATGAAATTTTAAAGTAGAATAACGTACTCCTGATCGACATGTTTTCAAGTGCTATAATTTGAATGATACCATTAACTACACGTGATTTGACTCGGCTAATGCTGACTAAAAGTATAATTATTCAATTAAAAGATTATACCATAGTTTAAGATGAAATTAATTTTTGTGAATTGTATAAATGTACAATTTAAATACCCCTCCCATAAGAGTTCGTTAATCTACTTTAAGTGCAATCAAATAAATTACTATAAATCAAACGCTAATTACTGTTTTAGTCGTTCATTTAAACCCAAAACTATACGTAAACTAAGGCAACAAATGGGGGAAACCTATAAAAATATACTCCAAAAGAGGTGTTAACAGACATTACTTTAGAGATACGGTGAGAGACTTGGACTTGTTTTGTAGGAAAAATAAGCTTTAAATTTGCATTTTGTTTGATATTATATAATATATTGTTTTGTTTTCTGTATTTTTATGTAAAATGTTTAGGAGTTTTGTGTGTCTTTAGTGCAAATAACTCGACACCCGTTTGTTGGACTTCAAGCGATCAGTGATGTTACAAATCTTGAGGGCCGGACCCAACTTGAGGCCCATGTACTTCATCATCATATCGCTGTTTAGTAGAAGGAAAGCCTTTCCGTCGATCTCCTGTTCCGTTCAATGAAAGCAATTAATTAAAATTTATTAGAAAACAAATGTATTATCAATGGAAAGAATGGACTCCAAAAATGGATCAATTAATGGTCAAAACATACGTGTTTTCTGAAGGTGTCCGCATGGGATTCGAGGGACGCGTCAACTGATATCAGGTGTCGGATCACGTCATCGAAATCAATTGAAAGAATGGACTCCAAAAATGGATCAATTAATGCTCAAAACATACATGTTTTCTGAAGGTGTCCGCATGGGATTCGAGGGACGCGTCAACTGATATCAGGTGTCGGATCACGTCATCGATAGTCCATTCCGCAGGATTAGGGGGTATAGGAACGGCCGCAACCGGTACTGGTGTTGGGGGTGACAATAGGACAGAGACAGATGTCGGGGTCATAGGGGGTGCCGTCCGATGCGTTACAATAGAAATTCGATGCGTGGGAGGGGTTGATATGTCTGCGGTCGAGGCAACGATCGCCGGCGTATTGTTCATGAGTTTCGGTGATTTGGGAGCTCTCACGGGATTTCTTGTACTCGAATCAGGCGTTGACTTAAACTCAATGTCGGAAATCTTGCGTTTAATAGGTGTAGAGGAGGTCGACACCAGTGTCTGCGCGGCCATGTGTACGGACACCGTCTCAGTGGCCACTGATTTGGTCACAGCGTTTGGTTTGGGTTTGCAATCCGTCGACAACACCGACGGCTCAGACTTCTTCACAACCGAACCCTTCGCGGCGGCTGTCGTTGTCGCGGGCGGTGTCGGCGGACAGCCCTTCGCTCCACACTTATCACAAGTGGAGCCCAGTTTCACGTCCGACAACAGGAACGGACAGCATTTAAGATCCTCTAACAGCGTCTGTATGTACGACCAGAACGTCGACTCCCGGTTCAAGTGAGGCATTTTGCGGGCGTTATTCTTGCCGTCGAAGCGGGCGCTCACAACCATACGCCCGTTCCCTGCCTTCAGGAAACTGTATACAC